GACTGGAGGAAGAAGAAGAACTCTCTCTCTCTCTCTCTCTCTCTCTCTCTCTCTCTCTCTCTCTTTCTCTCTCTCTCTCTCTCTCTCTCTCTCTCTCTCTCTCTCTTAGTCTGCAGATACTGAGAAGTCGGGTAGTGAGAGGGTGAGGAATAGATGGTGGACTTAGAGGTGCCAGGACTAACCTATGAAGGTGGCACCTTGTTGCAGGTATTTCGAAGATGAAGTTGGAGGTATGGCGCCACAGATAAGTCTCTCTGGCCTCCGCCACTCTCTCTTTGTCCAACACTACTCTTAGCTCCTAATAGTGCCCAACGCTGAAGACTACTCCTAGTGCTAGCTACTACCACTGCAGCGCTCCTGCAGAGTGCTGCTGCCGAATCCTGAAGACTGCCTCCTGCCTCCTGAACTACACGTGAAGTGCCTGGGATGTCCCCGTGAACTACCTGCAGATCTACCTGCAGTCTGCAGGGCAGGCCAGTGCTATGTAGTGTTGGCCCGTCCGGGAGGCTGCTCTTGCCAATGCCAAAACATGCCAGACCCTGGCGTTGAAGTTCAAACAAAGGTTGTCTTGAAACAGGCCCAAAAATGGTCTGTGGTAAACGCTGGTCTGGCGCCTGAGTTTCAGGGCAGGTCGACTTTATGAGGGCCTGAAAACGGCCCTCGTTTTCAGGCTTTTAGGCTGAAACGACACAGGGCTTGTAGGACCCTTATTTTCCGTTTGGTCAGGCCCTGCACGCCCGTGTGGCTGCACAATATGCCACAGCCCCCCCTCCTTGAAAGACCGAGCTTACCTGCGAGGGCGAAGCTGCCTGTCTGAGGGAGGGACCAAAGTCTAGGTGGGAGGGGCAGGTCGTGAAGCTTCCTTAGCTAACCTTTGTCGTTCGTAGCGAGCATAGATGAGCGGTGCGGATGCTTTCAAATCTGCTCCTGAAAGCCATCGTGTGTGATTGGGATCGCATGCTTTGAATGTAAATTTGCATTGTCGAGGCTTGCTACCGTACTTGCGATCCGTGATGACACGGTCGACTTCTTGATGGCCATCCATAGATGGAGGGTCTTGCGATCGTGGGCCCGGGAAGTCGTCGCTCCTAGCCGGTGTATATGTTGCCAGCTTCGAGGTGTGAAAGACCGGGTGGACGAGCAGATGTGGAGGGATGTTGATCACAAAGGATGGGCCGTCGGGCTCGTCGTCTGCGGCTGAACGGATGGTCTATGGTCCAAACCACTTGGGGAGTACGTAACATTCTGTTTGAGCACAAACTCTTCTGCGGAGACCCAAACCAGATCGCTGACGCGGATGGGACATGGCACGCGATGCCTGTTGGCTTGCTGTTGTATGCAGACTTCAGCCTTTTGCATGTTTGCATGGGCTTGAGGCAGCAATTCCCTTTTCTTCTGACTGGAGGCGGGTGAGCAAGCGGCGTCTATGTCGGCTGGTTGTGGAAGGAGAAGATCAGCGAAGATACGGCCTTTTCGGCCACCGTGGTGCAACTCGAATGGAGTCACGCCGATCGCAAGATGCAACAAAGTGTTGTAGGCGAACTCGATGTCGGGGAGGCGTTCAACCCAATCCTTCTGATCCGGACGGATGAGCGTACGAAGCATCATTTTAGCAGTTTGATGTGCCCGCTCCGTTTGCCCGTCGGTTTGTGGATGCCGAGCCGAACTTGGTTTCATTTTGGTGCTGGATTCCTGCATGAGAGAAGTCCAAAATGTCGATATGAAACGAGTGTCGTGGTCGTTAACGATGTCTTTCGTTACGCCGTGGCTGCAAATCCAGCCAGTGTGCAAGAGGCGCACAAGTTCGGGAGCTGTGGTGTAGTACTTGCAAGGGAGAAATCGCGCGTATTTACACAATCGGTGAACGACCGTGAGGATGTCGTCGTCTCCGAGGAGGTCGCGGGGAAACGGCCCGGTGACGTCCATGGCAATGGAGAGGCCGGGTTCCCGTGGAATAGGCAACGGGTGCAACTCGCCGTAGGGATTGCGGTTGCGGGGCTTGCTTCGTCGCCAAACTTCGCAAGACTCGCAATACCGAGTGACATTGGTAAATGAGGTCGGGCCACTGAAATCGTTGCCGAAGTCGTGCAATAGTTCGATTGTCTCCGAAATGGCCGGCGAGTCGCGAGTCGTGGTACTCATCGAGAAGGCGAGTCCTAAGATGGTCGACGGTCTCGTGGGACACATAATAAGTCCTTGCCTCACAAGTGGAGGAGCAAGTACCCGTTGACGATGCGATAGTGGCTGGTCGGCAAATGATCCGAAGATAGCTGCGCATATAGCGTGGCGAAATCCGGATCGGACTCCTTGCCCCGGATGAAGTGCCGGTGGAGTTCCACGTTGAACGCGAAGGCATGATGTGTCATAGCGCGAAGATTGGGTCTTCGCGAGAGTGCATCTGCTGCGCGATTGGAGAGGCCGGCGAGATGTTTCGGTGTGAAGTCAAATTGGTCGATGAAGTACATCCATCGTCCGATCGTGCTGCTCACTGTATCCTGCGTCTTATAGTAGGTCAACGGGTTGTTGTCAGTGACTCATGTGAACGTACGACACCCAAGGAGGAGGTGCCGCCATTGCTTGAGAGCCATCACGAATGCGAGCAACTCCTTCTTCCTTGCATCATCAAGTGAGTTGATGGGATGCACCTTGTGGCTGAAATACTCCATGGGGTGCCAGTCGTCGTCGTCGTGTTGTTCCAAGACTGCCCCAATGCCATAGCCGGAAGCGTCAGTCGTCACTCTCGTTGGCAAGGTGGGGTCCTAGATGCTAAGGAGTCAGGACAGGTGCCATGAGCATGGTCGTCTTGAGTGCTTGGAATCACTGGCGCGCGTCGGCGTCGAATACGAATGGCACATTTGGCGATTGTAGTCTCGTCAATTGTGCGGCGATCCTTGAGTATCCGGTGATGAACTGTTGGTAGTAGCCTGCCAACCCCATGAATGAGTGAACGCCCGTGGTGTTGGTGGGCTCGGGCCATACGCGGATGACCTCAATCTTGTCCGCGAGCGGACGGATGCCTTGCAGCGTCACATAATGTACCATGTACTCAAGGTCTTGCCGCGCGAATTCGCATTTGTCGCGGTTGGCTTTGTACTTGGCTTGTCGTAGCCACTCCAAAAAGGTGAGCAGGTGCTCCACATGCTCGTCCAAACTCCGGCTGTACACCAAGATATCGTCGAGGTAGATGAGTATGAATCTATCGAGTATGTGTCGGAACTCCGTGGTCATAGCCGCTTGGAACGTGGCCAGGGCATTCGTAAGGCCAAAAGTCATAACCAACCATTCAAAATGGCCATATCGCGTCTTAAACGCGGTCTTGTAGCGGTCCTCCTGCCGGATCTCGAGTTGGTGATATCCCGATTTGAGATCAAGCTTGGAGAAGAACTTGGCGTCGCCCAGTCGTTCGAGGAGGTCGTCGATGCGTGGAAGAGGGTCGACGTTCTTGACGGTTTGCGCGTTGAGCTTGCGATAATCGATGCACAACCGCAAGTCTTTGTTCCTCTTCCGAACGAAGAGAATGGGAGCGCCGTATGGCGAAGAGCTAGGCCGAATCCAGTCTTTCTCAAGAAGGTCGTCGAGTTGTGCCCGTAGCACACTTAACTCTTCCTCGCTCATGCGGTAGATGCAACCACGCGGAGGTACAACCCTGGCCTTGAGGGTGATCTCGATCCGGTACTCCGTACGGGGCTCCGAACACGTTGCCGTGGGCGTCGAGAAACTCGGTGATGCGTGGGTCCGTCGATGCGTCCGTTGATGAGATATCATGGGGAGGGAGGGCGTGGAGAAAACACACACCCATCTCCTCGACGTCGTCTCGGGTGATGGAAGCCCGAATGCTCGCGGCGGACACCACGTGACAATTGATTGAAGGGTGAGGTGGAGGCACCGTGCAAGGGACTAGTAATCCACTCCGATCACGAACGTGAACGGTGCCGCGGTAGAAGTTCATTGGGCCAAAATCATGTCGAACTGGGTGTCCAAAATGTCGAAGGACACGGCCTCTCTTGCATGCGGGGCGAAGTACACGGGGATGGAGTCAATGCACCGGTCGATTGACTTGTGCGTGTGACCATTGGCCAACGAGACTTGCGTGGGCTGCGACTTGCTCGGAACGTGTGGCCCAAGGCTAGCGCTTACCATAAAGTCTTGGCTGATATAGTTTCGAGTCGCTCTGCAATCGATAAAAGCGCTGCAAGTCGCTTGTCCGATCTGAATGCGTATGTACAACAATGACGCGTCGATGTCATCGTATCGTTGTGTCTTGAACTCGCGGTCGATCTTCACAATGTAGTCGTGAAGGTCAACAACCTCTACTCTGGCGTCCATCAACGGAGCAAGTACTGGAGTGTGCAAGTCATCCTGCAATTGTGCCATGAGCACGTTGCAATGCGGTTTCGGCAATCGACCGGTCGGGGGAAGGGGCATCCATTGGAAGTCCGCGAATGTCAACGGGTCGAGTTCTTGAAGTCTTGACCATGACGTCGAATCCCCGGTGATTGTTGGCGGCGAAGTTGCCGAATCGGTTGCCGATGGTGGTGAAACCGTGCATGCAGTGGATGTTGCATGTGGAGTGCTTGGTCCAACGGTGAGACCAAGTGGACAACGTAATCCTCATAAGTGAAACGAGGACTCGCGACATCCGCATTCTCCCCAGATGTGTAGGAGGCCGCTTGCAAGGCGACAGAATCTGGCGGAGTGAGAGGTGAAGTCGCCTCACCTTCCGTGCAACTCAGTTTCCCGAGCTGATTCGAGGTCGAACGTCCTCCTTGCCTTGATCCTGACACTTGGAGGTCTTGTGCTTGGTGCTGTTGCACCAATAGCAGGAGCCATATCGGTTGCGCCACTTGTATTCGGCCTCGATCAAGTTAAACTTGACCCATGGTACTGGCTGTCCGTTTCCGGTCGGCAATGCGGTTTTCCCCTTCCCTTTTCCACGGGAGTTGTTGTTGCTTCGCAGACGGACAGCGGCCACATGATCTCCCTCACGTGATGCTGGGTGGCTGCCGGGTCTTCCACAATGTTGTCCGGTTGGATTGTAGCGACGGGCTGCGGACGCGGACCAAATTTTCCTTTCTCCACATGGGCTGGCTGCCATGCTGACTTCTCGTGTGCAGCAGCCCGGTTGGTCTTGATGATCTCACGTGCTTTGTCGATGATGTCGGCGAAGCTTGTGTACTGTTCTCAATCACCGAGTGCAAGGCTTAAGGCAACATACGACCGGTTGTAGAACTCCTGGCGCAGATGCGAAAATGGCAACTCGAGATCGGGCGTTGCCACGATCTTTTGCCATTCCGTGAGCCAATCGCGTGTCGGTGTGTTGCCTTGAGTCATGGCGAAAAGGCGGTTGATGGCGAGCGTCGGGGCATCGTCGACGATGAATCACTTCTTCCATAGCCTCGTCAACTCTTCCCAAGAGAGGTTCTTGTGCAGATCAACGACCTGGACGCCGTGGATGGTTGCCAGGTGGCTGAGTCAGATCTGGCATCCGCCCTTGGTGTTGAGGTACAGGGTCGCGATGTACGAGTGCTTGGGGACATAACGAATCCGAAGTTTCGTCGTAAGGCCCTCCCACCAGGGGACCGGGTCTTGATGCGTACAGTCATCAAACTTTTCGATCCAAAATATCAACATTTTGTAATGCTGCGGACCGGTGCTGTCATCGTGATCGGGTGGCTGGTGCAGTTGCTGAACCTCATTCTTCAAGGCGTTGAGCTGCTCGCTGATGGTGGTGTCTGCGGCGAAGGCGCTGATGTCGCCGAGCATTGTGACTACGTGGTCAACTCGCTGCTCCAACTGGCGGTTAGAGGCTGCATTGCTGGATTCGCCAGCATCTGGTCTTGGTGCTGCTTGCTCCAAGTCCTATACACGGGTATGAAGTGTCCGTGTAGCATCCTCGTGCAGATCCTTGTGGTTCCGCACTGCCTGTCGAAGATTCGCCAGTTCTTGGTGCTGTTTCGCCATTTCCTGGTGTTGTTTCTCTAACTCAGACTATAGGTGGTTACAAGTGTAAACCAATCGGGTCACGAGTTTGGAGAGGAACTCCTTGTGCTGCTCTTCCGATGTTGTGTTGTTATGGTCCTCGGATGGTTCACGATGCCAGAACTTGAGCTTGTCGATGCTGGTGGCTTCGTGCCGCTGCAGCAGATCCTGGACCTCCTTGCGGCGGGCCTGGGCGTCTGCGTCAGGTGCGGCCTGAAGCCGGTGTTTGTTGGCTTCTGCCTCTGCTTCAGCCTGTAGGCGGGCAGCCTCGCCTGCCGCCTGGTGCTGTACCTCACCCGTGATCAGTGCGAGCTGAGCTAGAACCCGCTGTCAGTACTCGTCAATGGACTCGTTGGCCGATTGGCCTGGCATGCCCAAAGCTGAAACCGTCATGGTGGCGGGGCACTGCTTTGGCCCTGCTGCTGATGTGGCACTGTTGCCGCTGACGTGGCACTTACCAAACGGGAATGCAGGCAAAGGGTTGGGTGGGAGGGAAAACGCAGGAAGGTAACCAACCCAAATGTACTTTCCTCCCCGGTCCTAATCAACAGAATAAAATAAAATAAAATAAAATAAAATAAAAAATAAAAGAAGAGGATCCCCCTCGCCTTTTTTTTTTTTTTTTATACATCTGTTGATTTTGTGAGGAACAAGCCCTCAAGGGGCCCTATTCACATTGTTCTGGGCTAAGGCCCCCAGCAAGTCAAGTGCCCGCCCTAAGTGAAGGCGGGCCTGAATATTCGGTATTCAGGCTCTCGCAGCACGCCAGTTGGTTGGGAAGATGTGTGAGCCTCACATTGCTGCGTCATACAGTTGGCCCAGACCTTGACAGTTGAGCCTGGGCACATATACACAAAGCAGGGCCGATACATTGGGAAGCAGGCCTTCGACCTTGGCAAAAGCAGTAGTGCCAACGCACCTGCCTGGGAGCCCTGCACAGTGGCAGCAAACAGCCCAAGTCCAACTGCAAAGGGCCCAGGCCCTCAACTGTAGTCTCGGGCCTGGGCGCAGGGTCTGGGACCCAATCGGAAGCTACTGGAAGCTTCCTGCCAGGCCACACGCAGCATCCAGGAGCCTGCCACTTCCACAAAAGGAAGGAAGCAGCCCAGGCCAGGCATGCTGGCCAGCACTGGCAATGCGGAAGTGCTGCTGCACTCTCGCTTGATGCTGCGCTGCTGCCAAGGGCGCTGACGGGGCGCGAGAGGTGAAGTGGGGCGCTGCAGG